TAAGGGGTTGTAGGTAGTAAAAGGGGCGGTGTTTAGCCTACAAAAATATTTAGCGTTAGTGACATGATATACGTTGATTTAGAGAATTCTAACGCCAGAAGACGGTTTTCTTTCTCTTTTCTTTTTTCTTTTCTTTTTTCTTTTAAAAAATCAAGTGTGTAAAAGTGAAAGGTTTAACGACAAAGTGTGCCCAAAATATAGGAAAAGAAGGGTAGATTAAAGAACAAAAGTGTGCTCAATAGGAATGCGATATCTTAAAAGTTAGAGAGATGGAGGAGGTAAAATTATTCCCCGATATTATTATTATTATTATTATTATTATTATTATTATTATTATTATTATTATTATTATTCAGAAATTCTCTTCTTTTGGCTTAAAGTAAGTCCCCTTTAGCTCTTAAACTAAGTAGCTTTGGGAATTTGGTTGGGAGTAGACAGATTATCAAACAATTTAAGTAAATAAACAAAATATTGCATTCTTCTTTCTTTTCAAGTAAGGTACATAATCTATGCTTACGTTTGAATAATTTTTGGGATAGTCAAACGCCTGCTCCTGTGCAAACTATAAAAATGCACTCATGATCTGCAACTATTGTAAACAAGGAGACACTCACGAATTCTGATACAAAATGAATCTTATCTGATACAATAGGAAAGCTCTGAACTGAAGTTGTCCAAAATCTGAAAACTTATATGTTCGTCAAGAAAATAAGTCGAGACGAGAGTTCGTTCTTTTTCGAAGAGTATACAATGTACTAACGCCTCCGAACATAAAATGGCTACATAACACGTTTATATGGGAACACATAGGATTTATTTGGGGGACAAAAAACACGCATCCACTACATACATACGGAACAGAACGCAGAACAGGAGAAAAGAAATATTACGCGGAAAGAAAGCGGAGGGAGGCCGCACCCGTACACGAGAGAGATAATTAATCCCACTTTTATCTATTATTTATTTTTTATTATTATATTAGAGTAGTTCTTTTATTCTAATTCCGGGGATGTTGAATCATATGACTTGACGATGTTTGATTAGTTTTCATGGTTGATAATTTCAATATCTTTTTGGAATTGTTTGTGTTATTTTGAATAATTAACTGTGATGTGTTGAGTCTAATTTAGATTGATCACCTAGATTAGGCTTTCCATATCTACAGCTGAATTAGACATTCAATCCGTAATTGTTATTGTGTTTAATTCATTAGAGGCTACCGGAAGACGGTAACTACCGGGGATAACAAGGCCTATTTAAGTGAACGAACGCGGTTGAGTTCACTACTTAGTCTAGCCTATTTTTCTAATTCGTAAAGCGGCTAATTGTATTAAATCTTGAAAACGTTTTTCTGGACTGTACAAGAAATCATGTTTAATCGTAGAGTGTCTAGCGGTTAAATTAAAAATAAAGAAAAATTCGGGTAACAGACCGTGTCGTTACCTAGGGCTAGTAATTCCATGAGATAGCGAGATTTGATACTAAAGATTAGACGAGTCAGTCAAGAGTGTAGACGGAACCGTGAACTAGAAAGTTTTCTTAATTTATTTATTTTTATTTTTATTTTCATTATTTAGATATTATTTGCTTTATTAGGATTTTAGTTTGTTAATTCAAAACTCCCCCTATTTTATTGCTTTTTTAATTTCAGTTAATACGAGAAAATTCACATTTTAATACACACTCCTCGTGGGATCGACCCTTACTTACCGCTACTACTAGTTAGTAGAGGTTTGCTGAGGAAAAATATAAATTTAATTTTGCCGTGTTGCGACGCGCGGTCACTTGTAATACCCAACTAGGGGTGAGCATGGGTCGGTACGGTTCTCCAGAACCGTACCGAAGTTCGGAGATCACTAAAATTCGATCTCCAGAACCGTACCAAAAAATCGGTTCGGTCCAGTTCGGAGATTTTTATTTTTCAGTTCGGTTCGGTTCGGTTTTCGAGACCATCGGAACAGTTAGGTTCGGGTTAGTTCGATTGAATATTCGGAGATTTCTTATCATTTTTTTTTTGAATGACCACCTAGTTATATTTTATTTTTTATATGTTTTTTTTTTTAAATCCAACATTCATCAATATTTTATCATACTAAAGATTTTATTTTGAATCAACTTTAGAATTAACCCTAAATTTTAGTTAAGACTAAATTCAACTAACATTGAAAATTTAAAAATCAAACAAAATATAATACAATTTTGTATTGAAGTAATATTTATTTAACCTTCCATACCATGTTAGGTATAAGATAAACTAAGGCTAAGTATCGACAACTTTAAGTAAAACCTAAAATATATATATATATATATATATATATATATCTTTAACCTTTCATTCCATTTTTTTTAAACAAGAGAAATTCAATTGTAGATCAAGTATTAGTAAACATGAAATTTACGTGAATCTTAATAGTTATTACTATATTTTATTTGTATTTTAAAAATTCTCAAATTATATAAGATCAAAGTTGACATAAAATATATTAATAACCCGCATCTATTTTATAATTCGGTTCTACGGTTCGGTACGTACGGTACGGTTCGGTTCGGTTCTCAGTACGGATATGTATGAAATCTCCAGAACCGTACCAATTATTTTTTCGGTTCGGAGAAAGTCAAACGGTCAACGGATATTTTTCGGTTCGGAGTGATTTCGGTTCAGTTTTCAAAACGGTTCGGAATTCTCCAAGTCTCATGCTCAACCCTATACCCAACTAATGACTATTGTAATGGGCATGAAACAATCATATGTTATGTCTATCATTTTGAGATGCAAATGCATCACTTACTCCTCTACTTGATAACCTCCAAAACTGTCACGTGAAGTCAACATGCCCAGATACGTTGTATCTAATGAGGTCCACACAGGTTAGGATCAAAACCCAACTCAAATTGAGTTATTTATTTAATTCATTATCCATTAACTATTTAAATTATGAATTAATCTATATATACTCCGCAGAACGAATTATCAATTAACTATTTAGGCCTCATTTACTTTGTGTGATGGGATAAGACAAAATAATCAGGATAACTTTACACATCATCATTTAATCCAATGTTTACATTAAGGGATTAAAAAGTCAGAAATGGACAAATTTATAAGATAAAGGTTAAATGTCCAATTCACCCTCCATTTCAACGAACTCGTCTTCACTCCTCATTTCCCAAAATTCATCTGCGTCTCTTTCACAAAATTCATCTGCCCGTCGACCGAACCCTAATCAACCCAAAGCAGGCGTCGACAACGGGGTCCGATTCCCCTCTTTCCAAAATTCCGTCGAATCCTTCTTTCATTTGCGACTACGAGGTCCACTGAGATCAAGCTTTCTTGAGGGGGAGCCCACTGTTAATTTAAGCCCTCTTTCCGATTTGGGAAATAAACTGAACATCTTATCTGAAGGAAAAGAGTGTGAAGTGAAGGGTTCTAAAGCTGCGATTGTGAAGCGAGAAATTTCTAGTGGGTCAGAAAATTGAAGGTGCATAATGTTTGAAATCTAAAAAAAAGTATAATTGATATGAGGTTGAAGATAGACTTGCACTGCTTCTTTTCGGTGCTTAGAGAAGGTATTATTTTTCTGTTTCATAGATTTTGCCTCGCATACGCGCAAGATCAGAAAAAAATGCTTTTCTGAAGGACAAGATGGTCAACACATGAATGGGATTATTTAATCACAGAGAGAGGGTGGGATTTTTTTATCGGAAGAAACCGGATGAACGCATGCCACATTGGCGCCAGCTCATTAAAATCCCATCCCAATCCCCGTAAGTAAATGTAAGATAGCCGGGACTAATTTCCTTATTCTATCCTGTCCCCCAAAGTAAACGACCCCTTAAATTATGAATTAATCTATTTATACTCCGCAGAACGAATAAAAATATAAAGTGTTACTAATATACTAATCTCCACATCATTATCAATTAACTATTTAAATTATGAATGAATCTATATGTACTAATCTCGACATCATTAACTGGCCACAAAATTTCGAAAAAAAAAAAAACTGGCCACAAATCTAATTCAACTACAAAATACACCCCCCAAATCTGCTCAGCAAGTCTTATTAATGTGAGCAGGTCATGATAATTAATTAAAACTGGACCTATAACTTTTGAGCCTAAAAAACAGGGTTGTCATAAGTTGGACTTCGAATCAGAAATCTCCAAAGACACTGGGCAATGGTCACTCCCAAAAAAACCTGTAATCAATAAGATCAAAAGCAACCAGCTCAAAATTGGTTGATAAACGAGCATACGTTACATAAATACACATTAATACTGCTGAAGAACATACAGAAACATTATGCACAACACAGAAATCTAATGAATGATATTCATTCTCATTTCTCACCTAACAATTTTCATATAGTCCTCTATGTTCTTAATGGTACCAATACATAAATCATAAGCATAATAGACATGCTTGCTACATGTTTGGCTGGAAAAGGTCAACACATTAGTTGAGATCATTAATATTGTTTTTGAGTCTAGAAGATAACAGCTAAAATATATCAAGAGAGGATGTGAAAAGGGAGCTTAATGAAAACCAGCAACATAAAATTTGCAGGGTAATTATTTAACAACAGACCAGGAAAGATTTAATGGGATAAGCCATGTACATTACCTTCCAATTCAATGCCATGTCCATGCATTTCACAAGAAACAATTCTTTCCTGCAACTCATTTGAAACCACAAAATAGTCGATTCTCATCCTTTTCCCACGGTATCTGCATAATAGTTATTAGTCGGCAAGCATGAGATAGATACAGGTTATTTCTAGGATTAATCTTTCGGTGTTAGGGGTAATTACGAGACAATTTTCATCCGCTAACTGGAGCATTTTGTATTTAGGTTAAACTGTCAAGGTTTCTTTTCTTATTTAGCGAATTGGTTTTGTTTAGGCTCTTTATCAAGTTCTCCCAACATCCAACATATTAGCAGATACATCTTCGAATACTGTTAACAGCAATGAAATTAAATCAGCTACAGCTTCTTACTTCCCCACTGGATTTCCTGACCAGGAGAAACCACGCTCCATGTCTTTATCCTTGTGCAGGTACCTGTATGCATCTACCAGTTTTCCCCTGGGCAGAGGCAAAGTTAATTACACAAATTCGAGATATTGAAGAGAGTTGCCGAAGGGTGACCGTTAAACACCAAAAACGTATCTTAAACAACAGAGTATAGTAGTGTTATGTTGTGGTACGAATGGTATGAGATGCACATTATATCCTATACAAAACCTCATTCTCCAAACAACTTGACGCTCATATTTTTACTACTGGAAAGTATTTCATTTTCATAGTACTACCATTAAGAAGAACACAATTTGCCAAAGGGGAAAAAAAGGTAATAGAGAAAAGGCGCAATGTATAGAATTATGTTACATAGTATGAGCAGCAAATTAGTGAACAAAAGTAACATGGAAAATATTTGCAACAGATATAGATAGATACGAGATTTGAAATTATGGCATGAGCTCGTTCATCGAAAGCTACAAATGTGCGCGCCAAATTCCTTTTGGCTTCAGTAATTTGTAAATGGTGTACACTGCAGATCTTACACAATTGGAAATATTTCTTTTTTAAGACTGCCCAAAAGAAATGTGGATAAAATATAAAGGAGATGAACTGTATCCTACTTGGGGTGGAGATTGTTAATAGTTGTAGTTTCACCAAAGTTGGGAGATGTATCATCATTCTATTACAATGTGTTCATTAAGAGTGGCGAGTATTACTTGAAACCATAACACACTAGGCAAACATTTTCCTCATAAATCAATTTAATCATGAAGCAAAAATTTCTCACGTCAACAAACTTTTTACGTGTCATAAGTAGACACCCCAAGCCTTTTGAAACAGATTAACTGTTTAAGTGAGAGACATGACCAACAAGGGCAGATCTATATCGAGAGACATTTTGCATTACAAATATTCATATAATAGAAACAATGATGTAGAAATAGAAGTTGGGGCACTCATGTACGATGCTCAAAATATTGCAAAAACACGAAAGAATAGAAAATGAGGAATTGGCAATATTCAGGAATCTAGGCTCATTTTTGTGTCACTTAAATTTTAAAACCATAATCTAGTTATTTAGACTTGGAAATGTTTCGAGGATATTAAAAACTGAAAGATCGTTTTTTTATTTTTATTTTTTTATGCAGTTAATATTTGCTGTTTGTTGATGATTTGGGAATCAGGCATGTGACCATTTGAGAAGTTATTTTTTACTTGATAAGCAGAGAATAAGATAAACAATCGTTCGATTTTGTAGATTTAATAATCACTATAACCACGAAACTTTAAATTAGTATTGCTTCTCCTTGTTGCAATGGCAAGTATACAAAGGGTATTTTCTAGGATGGTGTACTTAAAAAATAAGTTTTATACAATCAGCACAAGAAAGTTGTCATATTCCAAATTCCACATCCCAATTTTAAAATATTCAAGCAGAAATTTAAGTGGTTATTCCATTGTTAAAATTTCCATGGAAATTTTCATTGAGTAAAAACTAAAATAGTTGTTCAGAATTAAATTTCTGGTGGAGTTCCTGTTGGAATTTAACGTTTCCAATAGTAAATTTTGGTGTCCCACCAATGAAAAAAATTTGGATCCATCCCTGATAACCTACCCACATTTATACATGATAAATACTTGAGAACTTCATGCAGACATCATAAATTTTAACACCCTCCCTTGAATCAGAGTTATGATGCCATGCCAGCAACATAAAGATAATATTCAAGAGTATGTATTCTTTTTAAAGAATGTAATAATTTAAACTTGAGACGTACTCTTTTAGGATCAACTCAAAACGCCTCCGCTCAGCCAATGTAAATCCAGGTTGCCCATAATCCTACAAAGTACAGGTTGATTTTAGCTTCTGTTGGCTTTGGAGAATGAAGAGCGTATGTCTTAGACAAGATCAAATCAGTAGATTTCTTACATATCTGAATACACAAAGTTTCCACTCTCTCTTATCATATTTAAGAAAACAAGAATACAGCACTAAGCAAGCAAGCAAAAGGCATCAGCAGCATACAGTGAGGTAACAAATTTAAATCTTTCTAATTTCCTCTATTTCCACATAAGTCATACATCCTTACATCAACCTCAAATATGATACTCAGTTCAGATGGTAGAATTAAGGGAACGAAAGTAGATTTACATGATTGTGTATAACCACCAATCAAATAGTTGTGATAAATAAATACTACTGTGATAGTGCGCATGCAAAACAAGCTTCATAAAGTCAACAGAATAGAAAAGTGAAAAATGTAACCTGTCCTTATGTACCCACAACCAATTTTTCAAGTAAACTTGGTAACTTAGTTTGGTCACAAGCCCTAATTAATTTTACTAGATATCATAATTATAACGATCATGGAACTCAACCGGCAATCAAGAAAACACAACAAGTACCTCTTTGTTGGGTGGAACGTAACCGTTAAGCTTGGCAGCGCTGAAGAATTCTGGATGACTTACATCAATATCTTCATGACTGCAGAAGAAAGATGAAAATGAACAAAATTATAGTACATCCATTCTAAATGCAACAATTGAATGTAAATCAGAACAATTGCACACAATTTGCAGAAGGATACAAGTTATATTAGCAGCACTAGTAAAGAGAGTGAGGGCTGGAGAAAGAATGAATTAGGTTTTATTAATGAACAGAAAATAGAACGGGGAATTCTGAACCATCAAACATGATTACATCTGATCCCACCTATGCTAATACTTAAGAATAATAGTGCTTATACACCTAATTGAGGATCCCTAATATAAGGTTATAAATTGAGTAAGAAAAAGAACTGTACTATTAACTTATCAGAGATTATAAGCAGTCAATCAAATCACTATGCTCATTCTATTCTAATCATAGACCCCAAAACACATGCCAATTGATTCCCTTGATTTCATCATTTCTTGTTTTCCATCAAGCTCATTCTCCAACAAGATGGCCTGCCAATTCAATCTGATGTACAAAATACATATTATTCCATGCTTTCAACTATATAAAATTTCAAGAAATTTTTCACATAACAAAGGCACGATTATGTCTCGACCAGTATCTAAAAAACCACTAATATGACTTTAACTGATAATTATCAAGTGCATTGTACCCAGATATATGTCATGCAACAGGGTTCCACCACGAAAGCACCATATTATTAGTAGAGTTCAACAACAAAACTAACCCTTTTCATATGTATCGGAGTAAGTTGTTATATCCCAAATTTATGCGGAAAAAGAAAAGATTATGCAAAAACAATTGTTCGGCCCTATAGGTAGAACTTGAAGATGGAAAATCAATTTCGTGACATGATTTGTGCCGAGTCAGCTAGCTGTTCTCTCTCACGCACACATCACTCAACATGACTACTAGTTGACAAAAACAAAGCACCAACATAATTAATCCAGAAAACCCGTTAACATTCATACGCCCAACAAAAGGCGGCCTTTCATCCACAACTCGCTAGAAGACAGGTAAACCAAAGTGACAAAACCAGGTAAAAAGAAGGAAAGTCTAGAAAAAAGATTATTCAAGTAAATCAGAGATCAAAGGCACAATACTACCTCACATTAAGATCGCCACACCAGATAAGGGACTTATCAGAAGCTCTGAGAACAAATTCCAGCATCCTTTTATCCCACTTTCTTCTCCTCTGAAATGAGGATTCCTCCTCTTTCCATCCGTTGTTAGGAACATACGTATTCAATATACGGAATGATTCAAACTCAGCAATAATAACCCGGCCATCTGCTTCATGCTTTGAACCTGAGAAGACATAAACGAACCAACTATTTCCTTGTGTAGAAGTTCTAAAAGAAACATGTTTTGGAGGCAAGAAAGTTCCAGGAGGCAAGATGCAGTCATTCAAATGCTGAGAGCTTTCTCACACAGCTTCAGTGAAATGAAAATGATCCTAAATTAAAAGGACACTCTTTCTTGATTTCCCAATTTTTACAATATGATCACAACTAAATTTCCAGGTCACTATAATACTGATATGAATGTACAATTGAACTACCCAATAGCCAAACAGTAGTTTGCTTCGTGGATCTCTCCATGGAAGCTCTTGCAAGATTGTGGGGATAATGTTAAAGACAGATAGCTTAGTTAAGGGGATTGTAAACATCACACTAATCGGAGCAATTATGTTCTTTCCTAGTATAGGGATTCATCTGTGCATGTAAGTATGTATTTGTTGTGGAAGAAATACAAGATTTTCTCTCAATACTCTGTACAGTAGCTAAAATTTCCTAATGAGCTGAACTCCCAACGATACTAGTGTTATACCCTTTTAACCCTTACTTTCATAAAACCTTCACATAAATCAGTGACTTTCATATATATATTTACGCCATATGCATGTAAAGACAGATCATGTTCGATATATAGCTTTTCCTCATCTCAAATGCATTATTTACCATTATCCTATAACTGCTTAACCATCATCATTCTTATCCTTGTTATCTCTTAATATACTTCTAGAATCTTTAGTCCATTATTATACAAAAATTCTAATAAAAGAACATACATAATTTGTTGGGCCCTCAAGTCTTGAGAGTTTTCCCAAGAAATATTGAATATTCCATCCCGTTCTTACATTGTTTAAAAATATTTTTCCAGACAAACAACACATAAGAAAGAATTAATAACCATAATAGTTCAAATACACAGAAAGGGTAGTGCTAGAAAACGTAATGAGTCTACTTCACATGAAATGTGAAAGTTGAAATGAGCTCTAAATTATAAATAACCCAAGGGATGTCAAGACTAGCAAAACACATTTTCATTCAAGTAGGCTACATCTTCTTCATCACAAGATGAGTGTGTTTTCCTTTCTAACATTAAGGAATAGAACGCTTCTTCATCGTCTGTACCATAAGCATGATAACGAGCCCAAGGATAAAGTGATAGTCTCTTTCTAGGTTTCAATTCTGATTAAAGCAATTAACTAAATCAACAAACTTAAAATACAATTCGGTCTTCCACATTCATCTGGGTCACCAAGAAACTTATTGTCCATTTTCTTTGTTAAAAGGTGGGTTTATATCATTAGCATCCAATAAAGAACAGAGATGGATATGGTGAATACCTAATAAACTTGGTAAACACTCTATGAGCATTTATTGATATTTATTTTGAGAATAAATGTTCACAAGCCCAATTCCACATTGCACTTGGTCTGATGCTAATTCTGATGTCCAAGATAATTTAATCCAATATATAATGATGTATGGTTTTGCAATACAAGATATGAGAAAACAGAGATTGGTGTGTGTGTGTGTGTGTTTGGTGTGTATACACACACACACACACAAACACAATGAATGTAGACAAAATAAAAGAGGCATTATCAGCCTAATAATGAAAGTGCAATTGATAATCAACTTAGTAAATGCAAGTATTACCACACAGGTTCTCTTTGAAATCCTGCTCAACTCAACAACCAGATACCTAGATGAATTTAGCAAATTTACCACTATAATGTTACATATAGGAACTAATCTTTTCCTCGTGTTTATTTGTCCTGTACACATTAGTATCTTCAAGTTACTGCAACTGAAGTAGTAATCATTTCCATTTTCTTTTATTTGAATTCTTATTATGCACGGATTTGACCAACAATTCACATTCCTCTCCAGTGCATAGCATAAACAGTAAGCTGGTTTCAAACATGAAATACGGTTTAGTAAAAAATGGGTGGAACACCAAAACAGATCATCCATGATGAAGATTCTCAAACTAGCCGACAACAAACCTGCTTGATCCAGTGAAAAGGACACCTTAATTGGCTGGAAGCACTTTTTTATAAACAATGCTGTTCCAGCATATTTTGAATCTGAAAGAGACCACCACACATTATAATTTTTGAATGGTGGATTTGATAATGCTCGCATGACAATCTGCACATAAGAACAAGGTATATCACTCTAAAGCATAAACACAATTAGCAGATGCTGTTAGAGTTTATCACTCTAAACACAATTAACAAGGTATATCACTCTAAACCATAGAAAATTATCTTTTATGATTTGATTCCAAGAAAATAAACTCCAGCATGAAACTAATGGAATCACATTTATTAACTTTTAAAAGGAATAAAAATGTATCAAGGCATCTTCTCAGTCGAATCTTATAAGCATCTTGTTCTTGGGGTGAGGAATAAAGAGAAAAAGAAAAACAAAATCAACACATAATCTTAATAAAAAAATACCAACCTAAGAAGTTATCTCATACAAGAAATATAGTAAATACATCACTGAAAGGAAAATTAGTCAACAAATGCAATACAGAAAGATAACATATATCGTACATATATGTGGCAATAACATAATTTTTATGTTTTTCTCTTTTTTCAAATATTATACTTTAATATGTTATTTTTATTTTATTATCATTTTTTATGACATATCAGTCATCAGATAAGTAATCTTTTATAGTTTTTACTAATACATTCATATTACACCTATAAAATGAAAGGAGCACACACACTTTTAACCACGCAAACTTTGATAGATTGTGTTGATAAGTCCTAAAAAGCTGTTTAAGTACAAAATTGTTTGTTTAAAGTGGTGTCAAAGCACCATGCACTTCTCAACAAATGTATGTCACAAATGTCTTAGAGGAGACCAGACGGTTAGGAAGTAAACTAACTGCAATGTGATGAAAACTATTAAGCAAAACCATAAGTTTGTTGAAGTATTAGATGTCATTCAGTGAACAAAGAGAAGCCAAAGATTAGTAGGGAAAATTTATTTGCTTACAAAGGGCCAAAATAGCATAATCCATTAGTGTCATATCATTACTCACTTAATGCATGACCCCGAGGAGATTCATCTTTCAGCTGTCCAATATGTTTCATCACTTGAAAGGTAAAAATGCCCAAAACTTATACTGTTGACGAGGAATTTTGAATCAGGCCTTGATTATTACAGTAAGGTAGATTAAGCAGACTCGCTTCTCGATCGAGAGTCTACTTCATGATACTATATCTTTCTGGGAAGTAATTCTGTGGCATTCAAGAATAGCAAAATTCTGTAGTACGTGCAAGTGAGAAGCTAATTTAAAAGAAATGGCCTAAGGGGTCCGTGAATAGTTATGGTTATAAAATTATTTTAAAAGACGTGAAGAAGTCAAGACTATTGTTGTTGTTGTTGTTGTTGTGAAGAAGTCAAGATTAAACAAATTGGAACAATAAGACTATTCTGACCATAATTCAACTATTACTATATTAGCAACTTTCATTAAACGAGTGCAAACATGACCAAACAAACACAAAAAGATAGATTGTTATTCAATAAGTTCCCACAGGATGGAGGGTAGCAACATTCTCATAGAAAAATTCACCAGCTTGATGTGGAGTGTAAAAAATCCGACTTACTCTGTCCTGTTTTCTCCTTGATTTGGTTTCATTGTGATTTTAAGTCTTTTGATTATATCAAGTCGGTCCATATTTATTTTGCTGAAGCGTAAAAGATTAGGGATGTCACTAAAAGACCGTGAAGGTTTAATCTAAGTTGTATCGGAGACAACTGGTGGGTAGATGTTAGTAGCTTGAGTGGGTTTGCTGTAACAAAAGTTTAAGGCCTACTTTTGTCCAAAAATTCAACATAAAAAAGGATGACTAAGCATTAGCCAGCCTACCACATACAAGTTAACCTGGTTAGTTCATTCCTTATTTTCAGAGAATTTATCATCTTCATATATACTCTCACGGAAGGCTCGTGTAGGGCAGATTTAGTACTACGGTAATTTTTTAACATAAATAGTTTCTTTCATACAATGTCAATGCCCGTTACTAAAACAATCAGGACAACATCTTAGGAAATTTCACGCGACGAACTTTCATCGTACAAGATCATACAAAAACAAAAAAGAAGGAAAAAACAATAAACCTGCTTCTCCTCACGGGAGGCGGACGTATCATCTTTTAACTCTCTCGGGTTTCTGGAAGCACCCTTAGCACCAGCTGCGGGGATCCTGACTTCCTACGTCATTACCAAGTTAGATAAGCTCTTATCAGAGGTTCCAATAAATATGGGTTGATAGTAGCATAATAAATATGATTAAAACAACGAAAATGAATTATGCAATGGTTGATAGTACCATGATGATAAATATGATTACAACAATGAAAACGAGTTATGCAATGAGCTGTGAAGAGAGTTTACATTTAAGACAGATGATCCATATTTTATGGCAATAACTAATGCAAAATCATCTAAAAAGTTAGGCACCATTCTTATATGAATCAGTTTACTTAGGATTCTCATAAGTTTATGTAGCACAACAGAAAGAAAATAGGGAAATTGGATGTTATCCATGCAAGTGATCTCCCTGCACCGAGACATGTAAGTAAATTCTCCAAGGTCATAAATATAAATATCAAATAAAAAGTCCAACTCAAAAGGCATTGCTGCAGTAATAGGAAAACATAACCAGCACAAGAAGCATCTCTGATAGAAGTATTAATCTTAATCAGTCAAACATGAATTTCAATGAAACGAGCCACAAAAAGGTTCCAAAGAACCCAAACCAACCAAAAGTCATTGCCATTTCCATTTACCTTTTGCCACAGTTCTAGCAGTGAATAACATACAAAAACTAAAACAGTGCATTGCCATTTACCTTTTGCCACAGAAAACAAAACAACCTCCAAATGTCAGAAAAAAGAAACCCATCTTTCAGAAAGTAAAATAAATTTCGAATGAAAGAAGAATGAAAAAGAGGAAAACAGGGCCAGCAATCAAGCAATCAATCTACCAAGTCCAAAGAGCCCAATTACACCATAACACAAAACAAAGACTCTGCCCGTAAATGCAGCAAATACCTGCAATGCAATGACATCAGGATCAAGATTCTCTACAAACTTGGAAAACTCGGTCCAGTTGTTCTTGATTCTCAGCAGTAAACTATTAGCATTCCACGACAAGAATTTCAAAGGCTCCTTTTTTACGGCGCCGCTGTTCTCTTCACTTGCAGCAACAGAAGAATCATTAGTTATTTTTTGGCAGTCGTTTAATGGTGAAGAGGAGGAGGAGAGGTTAGGTTTCTTAGAAGAGCCATCCTTCTCTATTGGCTTGAAAAACCTCTTCATTATCGTTTTTCGGGTGCGCTACCCTTAACCACCACACTGCATTTAGAGGTGTTCAAAATGTTGGGATCTTTGGGCGTAAACCCCGGAAAAATAATATGGTTTTTTTTTTTTTTTT